TCTGGTGTAACCCTACTTATTACACACACAAGATCAGTTTGCTTAAGAAAAACATCAATAATGTTTTCTGTGAATCTGGAGGAGTGGACTTCAGTCAGAAAAAAAACTAAAACAACAACCCTTGGTAATAAAGGTTATCTCAGCTTTGGCTTAAAGACCTTTATCTCTTAATATTAAGCTTACTTTAAACCATTTACAAGCCAACCAAGCCAAACTAAAACCAAAGATGCTGCTCAGTTGTGTTTGAATCCTGTGTTTTGGTGCTTGAGCCAAATGGGTCCCTTTTTTCACAAGGGTTAAATTACCTGCCATTTGTGAAAGAAGGCTTCAGAGTCATGTTTTGAATTTTTCAGGTTGTGTAACACATTTATTAAACATTTTAATAAAACATGAAATGTTTTTAATTGAAAATTCTCAAAAATGTCTTTGTTTTCTTACAGTGTTCATATTTTAGACCATGTGTAGCTCTTTCAGCATAAACTAAAACAAATAAAAAAACTTTTTCTGACTTAAGGTTAACAAATCTGGACTGATCCCCCACTTCCACGTCACCATCCTTAATAAAAGTCCTTCCAGTGGCACAGTGGGCCTTCGTAATCATGCCAACCCACTGTGTCAATGACACTGATTCCCTCCAACAATTGCCCCCATTGCCCCAAACCAGCCAGCCAATCCCTCCATCCCAGCCCCTGGTGGGGAGGAATCCGCTAAAGGAGATTTGCAGAGGAGGGTCTGCTTCTCTTTTTCAGCCTGAACACATTTTGGGAATCCTACAAAGTTTCCTAACTTTGACAAAAGACTCAACTTTGCTATGGAAGAAATATTTCATGAGCCAAATGTCACATAAATTCAGAAGTCAGACTTACTCCTGAATTAATGACACTCAGACAGAAAGAAAGACTGTTTGAAGGAAAGAGAGAAGGACAGAAAGACAGAAAGCAGCTGTTCGGCTGTGGAGCTAAACTCATATTTGCCACTCAAGCGAACACAGTTCTGCTTTAGAAAAACTTTACAAAGCAGAGATAATGAGATAATACAAATGGAGAAATTCAAAACAGTCTGACACAGTTGGTCAAAACCACACAGCAAACCGACAAATAAATAAATAAAATTCTTTGACAGATTATCGAGCTCTGAAAGTAATGACTCCATCCACACCCCGCCATGCTAATAATGATTAACAACCAACTCATGCTCCATTTCTTCTCCTCCCCAAATATCCCATTTCCATATTTAATTTCCCTATATTATGATAAAAGCCATGCTTCTAGGCTAGTGTGGGGTTCCGAGTTTCACATTTACAACACAAAGACACATGTTTTTCACTGATTGTTGGCTCTCTTTTCCTCAAAGGGTTTATTTCTGGAGAGCAGATGAGCTTTGAAGTAAGAACTGAACATTTAAGAACCATTACATGAATATTTTGTTCCCCCTAGAGACTATCCAGAGAAGGTTTGGAGGAAAAACAAAATCCCATAAAACAGTTTGACAATGCAAATGCGAGTGTGCAGAGAAAAGCGTGAAATTACTGCTTCTAAGCAGCGCCGTCAAAACAGCAGCTTTATTTGGTTAATACAAC